GTCACCCAAAGAATGTTGAGAGTTTGAACTATTAAATGCATAATCTATAGTGCAAAGTACTTTGTTTAAACATTTTAAAATGCATACTTTTGTTATTACTATATAACGAAATAATTGATTTTATGTTAAAATGACTCCATCCTTAAACTGTATCCTTCTGTAGGAACAACCCTTGAGTGCTTTTACCTGACATGTCAGAAACAGCTAGGGAAAGAATGCAGACCAATGTAACAGTCTGTATTTCCATTTGAACTGGTGGTAGCCTTTTGTCCCAGTGAATAGCTTGTTGAGCTCAACCACAGCAGCTGAGCTAGAACAACTCAAGCCTTTTGCTAGTGGAGCTTCTGAAAATACACAGAACTAAGTCAGCAAAGGTGTATGGAGACTCACTAACTCGTTTAACTTTGCAACCAAACAATTAAAAATGTATTGTATGAAAATTGCCTTTTTAAGTGAGGATAGTTTAGTTAAACTGACACTTCAGATGATAGTAAATTTTCACTGATGTAGTTTGTGAAAGTAAAAAAGGCAGCAAATGGGGCTTTATTACACACAAACTCAAGAACAAGTCAGTTTTCAAGTGTAAAAAGCAACTTCTGTTTGCTACGTGCAGATTATGAAACAGATGGATTCTCAAAGTATGAATGAATCAGAAGAAATATTTACATCTAAAAATTCAGACTTCTTTAAAGTTAATTTTTCCAGACCCACATTGGCCAGAATATTGAAAGCTGATGAGACAATGTGGTAATTTATTTTGTCCTGTTGTGTGTTTTAGTTAACATATTTTAAGACAAAGAAAATTCAATACACTAATTGGGCAGTATGAAAAGCCTTAACAAATGTACAGTTGGTGCACAAAAGTGCACCACACTCTTACAAAATGATTTTCACTGCAGGAGGATCTCTGACCAGATCCACACAGAGAATACAACCACATGGTAAAAAATTATTTAAGGAAGACTTTCTCTTGCATGATCAAAAAGCCTTGCATGAGGTCTTTGTTCTGTTTGCTCCCAGCTCCTGAGCAGAACAAGGAATAAAATAACCTGTGTTTTCTATCTTGCTAAAACTGAGGATCTTTAGGACTAACAGACCTGCAAGTGGGACAGACTAAACATCTGAGTAGCAGCTCTGTGGAGGAGGCCCTGGGGCCACAGTGGGCAGCGAGCTGGGCATGGCCGGCAGTGGCCCTGGCCACAACAAAGGCCCCCTCTCTCCTGGGCTGTATGAACAGAAGCCTGGCCAGTCACCCAGCACTCAGGAGACAACAGCTGTGAGTTGGTCAGGTTTGGGCAGCCCCAGCAGAAGAAACGCAGCAATAAACTGGAGCAAGTTCAGATGAGGGCATCAAGGGCACCGAGGTGTCCTGGGCTGCAGCACTGCCCTGTCCTGCAGGCTATGGGGCAAGGGCTGGTTCAGCCTGGGGAAGGCACTGTTCAGGGGACACAAAAGAACAGCCCCCCAAAACCTACAGGAAAGCCACCAAGAAGATGGAGTCAAACCCTTCACAGCAATGGACAGTGGGAGGAGGAGAGACAACATTTGAGTTGAAACACAAGTAATTCAGTATAGGTATAAGGGGGAAAAATTCACACTGAGGGTAGTTTAGCAGTGAAGCAGGTTGCCCATAGAGACTGTGGGAAATTTTGGAGGATTTCAAACCCTGACAGGACAGAACAACCTTGTCTGGTCTCATGGATGACACTGCTGTGACCAGCAGGGTGGACCAAAGATCCTTCCAGCCTGGATTATCCTGTGATTCTATGGTCATTTCCAAGGACAATCTGCAAAACCTCCCTAAGCAATAGATGTGCTCTTCTTACCACTGTAAAATTTTCCTATTGACTAATGTGAATCTCTTCTACAATGAAAGCCCATTAATTTTCTTTTTTTTCCACTACAGATGTGCATTCTCTCTCTTTGCAATGACTTACTATGTATTTGAAGACTGTTACCATGCTATTTCAGGTTCCCTTATGTTGTGGTTTAACCCCAGCTGGCAATTAAGCACTACACAGCCACTTACTCTCTCCCTGTCACCCACAGTGGGATGTGGGAGAGAATCAGAAAAGAAAAAACAACCTCATGGACTGAGATGAACACAGTTTAATAGGACAGAAAAGGAAGGGAAAAAATATGCAAAACAAGTGATGCACAATACAATTGCTCACCACCTGCTGACAGATGCCCAGCCAAGCCCCAAGCCACAGTGTCCCCCAGCCAACTCCCCCCAGATGTCATCAGCTGGGCATGGCATCATATGGTATGGAGTACCCCTTCAATAGTTTGGGTCAGCTGTCCTTGCTGAGTCCCTTCCCAGCTTCTTGTGCACTCCCATCCTCTGCTGGCAGGAAAATATGAGAAGCTGAAAACTCCTTGACTTAGTGTAAACACTGTTTAACAACAACTAAAACATCAGTGTGTTATCAACATTATTCCCATCCTAAATCCCAAACACAGCACTGTACCAGCTACTAGGAAGAAAATTAGCATTATTCCAGCTGAAACCAGAACACCTTAGAAGCTTTTTGGATGCTTAATACTTCGTGCCATTAAGTGCCACATTTCAGTTTGTTCTAACATTTGGGCAACCGTATGTGCCAGTTTTCTTGGAGACTTCTGAGTATGCTTAAAGCACGGTTTAATATAGCAGGAGTACACTCAGCTAGCTTTTCAAATTTTATTTCTTTACTCTGCATTTCACTGATCTTCATAGTGAAAATTCTCATAGTGCATTTTTTCTCATCATCACATAGTTCCTAGACTATGATTTTATCTGATTGTGCAAAGCTGAAGCTGTTCCTGTTAAGCCATGGTTTTCTCTCTTGCTCACAAAAATTATTAAACTGTAATTCTTACGGTGGCTCATTCTGTTCAGTCACCCATGTCTTTAAGTTCTACGACTGTTCTGAATTTGCATGTTTGCAGCTCTTAGGTACAGGTTTATTCTCAGTGGAACAACATCCTGCTAGCTACCTCTGTTCTCATTTCTTGCTAGCTACTTTGGTTTCATTTGTTTTCTCAACAGCATGAGATGCTGGCTTATTCTCCTTGCTCCTCAGAAGGTTTTTCCTTGTATACAAACAAATAGACCACTGATTTCTGAGACTACGCTTCTTTCCATTCCTTGAATTCTGCTGTCAGAGAGAAACTATTTTGCTTCAGTGCCTCAGGATGAACACTTATTTATCAATCTTCCCTATATTTAAACAGGGTCTAAGACTGACAGTGACTGCAGCGTAGGAGGGATGGAAGGGGTGAATCTGCCTTCTGCCTCAAGCCAGGCTGGGTAGGCAGAGCTATGACAGCTCTCCACTTTGCCTCAGGATTAGCATCCCCAGTTGCATGGGTTATTCTGCCTATGATGTGGCAGGTGAAGAAGTACAACTCCTTCATCCAACACATTATTTAAAGACGGATGTTTTCAGCTTACTCAGACATTAGAATTAGGACAGGATAGGATGCCCTGGACAAGAAGGATAACAAAATCAGGATATGTTTGAAGAGCGAAATAGAGAAATTAGTGCAGCAAGGTTAGCCATAGTTTTAGTCTAACTGGCACAGGCAGCAACAACATCAAATATGATGAAGCACAAAATTCAGTGTGGGCTGGCAACTGGGGTAAGTTCATGGGAACTCCACTCACATTCATACCTCTCCAGCATCACTCCTATTCTCCCTGTGCTAGACAGGCAAAGGATACCTTAAAATCATGCCCTGCAATATAATAATTCCTTCTGCTGCAATGAAGAGATAGTGTGAATGCTTTCCTTATTCACTGAAAAACCCCTCTGGACTAGCTGCTACCCAGGCAATGTTGCAACAGGCAAATTCAATCACCTGGAACCATTAGGGTAAGGGTCTCTATTAACTGAGCCCATTTTCATGAGAACAAATATAGGTGAGCAAATTTTGCAGTTTGTTCCACATGTACTTTTTATATATCTAGCTTTGGTTTGAAAAGTAACAATATCCTAGACTCTTTTCAACTTCTAGGGCTCATTTTTTTTTAGTGTTTATTTGATTAAATCTCACTAAGTATAAAAAGAGACTTGTACATGCTGTGTACCTAATAAGCGGCTACTGATGGGAGGATGAATTCATCTTCACATTTATTTCAATGAATTCTACAGCTTTCAACCCTGTGAAAGCTTTACCATTTCTGTTATTTGGTAATGATGACGATATTTGTGGTCCTGCTGTTTACAGACAGATTATGTCAAGGGAAACTGACGAGGGATTTCAGAGTTTTGTGACCTTTGACATATGCATTTGCCAACCTTGACAATATAAGCCACTTTAAAATGCTGTGAAGACGCCTGCACAACCTTTCTGATAAGTGTAGCATGTCTCTTATCGAATATCATCTCTTGTGAAATAAAGATTAAATGAAAAGGCAGACTGAACATGAACAATCTTGATTTAGCAAAATGTACTCTTTGACCTGAAATGCAAGTAGAAAAACACATTGAAGTGGGGCATACACACTCAAACAAACCATACTTGGTGCTACTGCTGAATAAGCTACAAGTATGTCTTAGATGTCACTCAAGAGTGTTTTCAGTTGCAGTGGAGATAAATTCCCTAAGTACTGAAGAGGTGGCTTGTCTAGAGTGGTTGACTGTCATACATGTAGATATCAGTATATTTCAACAATGATTTGGGGAGACTTGTTTTAGAGACAGAAGAGTAATTCAGCTACTACAATTTATTCAGGCCTTGGCCTTGCTGAAATATTATTTCCCAGATGCAGCTTTTTATTTCTGGGGATATTAGTCCTGTAGAAAGAATACTGAAACTTTTACCAGTCCATGCCAGATTGCAAATCCTAAATTTACTACTGCAATAAATCATTCTGTAACCCACTGCGTCTTCTTAAATTATTAAAACTAGCATACCATCACTCATATCACATTCATTTCTCTGATTGGAAAAGATACCACAAAGTGCACTTGTACTAATGTCTGTCTTCTTGTTTTTATCATTTTCTTTCCCAGATTTTTTTCCCTCTATCTGAGAAACAGATGCACTGAGAAACATGCCTGAGCAAAGCAATGATTACAGGGTTGTTGTGTTTGGAGCTGGAGGAGTGGGCAAAAGTTCTTTGGTCTTGAGATTTGTGAAGGGCACTTTCAGAGAGAGCTACATCCCTACCATTGAAGACACCTATCGGCAGGTGATCAGCTGCGATAAGAGCATATGCACTTTGCAGATAACTGACACTACAGGGAGCCATCAATTTCCAGCCATGCAACGTCTTTCTATTTCTAAGGGACATGCTTTCATTTTGGTTTACTCTATCACCAGCCGACAATCGTTGGAGGAACTCAAACCAATCTATGAACAAATATGTCAGATAAAAGGAGATGTAGAAAGCATTCCAATAATGCTGGTGGGGAACAAAAATGATGAGAACCAAAATCGAGAGGTAGACAGCAGTGAGGGAGAAGCCATGGCTAAGAAGTGGAAATGTGCTTTCATGGAGACCTCTGCCAAGCTGAACCACAATGTGAAAGAGTTGTTCCAAGAGTTGCTAAACCTAGAAAAACGCAGGACTGTGAGTTTACAAATTGATGGCAAAAAAAACAAGCAGCAGAAAAGGAAAGAGAAGCTGAAAGGCAAATGTGTGGTAATGTGAAATTACACTGTCAGAAGTCAGTCATGCAGTCTCACCTGTCTGCCAATACCCATGTAAAACCTATAGACAGCAATCTACCATGCAAGACACTATTTATTAGTATCTGTTTTTAAAAAAAAATATATTTGGAATTTGAGAAAATTAGTTACTATGGTTACTATGGAAAAAGCCAACAATTAAAAAATCCTGTACTCTAGCAGACGGTGAGTGAAGTGAAAGACCAGGATATCTAATTTTGTAACTTACAGAAGAAAAGAAATTTCATCCTCGGCATAATGTGAAAGATTTGGAAAGTCAACTTTATTTTATTTACATTCACATATAACTGCAAGAGAAGGCAATGCATAATGTTGGAAGAAAGATAGCCATGAAGAGAAATGGCCATGAAGAAATGTAGAACGTATAAATGCATACTGGGTGGCATTCTCATGTCCTTTCAAAATGCTGTGGACAAAAAAATTCTGTGCAATTTTCATAACTGACTGGTGGGTCAGCATGCATAAGTTAGTCTCGGATCTGCCACATAAATGAAGTATTTCACACTAGAAGGAAGTGTGAGGGTAGCACAGTTAAAAGCAACAGATAATCCATCTACCCCCCAGAAAGAAATTTCTTTCCAGGATGATGCCGTGTTTGAGCTGAAGGATGAGGAAAGACCAGCCCCTGTAGGAGACATGGAGATCTTTTCTGGACTCATCACTTCAGGAATGACCTGTGCTTCTGGCCACAATACATTTCAGATGTTTGCCTGTGGAGAACATGAGATTGTATAAAAAATGGTATGCATATCCAAACAGAAATCTTCCCCAGGGAGTATTGGTTGGGGACTCCCCTACAAAAGCCTCTTTGATAAAGGCACAGTTCAAATGCTGCTGATGGCTTAATGAACCCATGGTGTGCTTAGAGAACAAACTGAAAGCCTGTTGAACTGGTGGTACCCCTGGAGAGGGGTCGGTGTAGTATACAAAGTTTTTATTCAAATTACCACATTAGTTGAGTAAAACATCTTTACATTACTATATTCCAACTAGCATGGTTTTGCATTCATGCTTTACTGGATCTACTGCCTTTATACTGTCTGAAGGGTTTTATAGTTACCATTTAAACTCTTGATTTGAACTGTTATGACTATTTATACAACTAAATCCTATATCTGGAGTTAAGGCCCACAAGAGTCTCTAAGAGAAGATTTGTGTGGGTAAGTACTACAGGATTTGATATATTAAGAGTTGCAGACAGTACCGTGTTACAATGCAATACAAAGTTCAGAATAGAAAAAAAGGGTTTAAACCTCTCTGTCAGGGGACACTGCTCTTCTCAAAACCTTTGGAAAGGGAAGAAGTGTACAAAATGTGAGCCTTTCTGTATTTCTCTCCAAAGCTTTTTAAAAAACTAATATGAATGAATAAAGTTATGTATCCTGATAACAGAGACCACCTAAGACAAAAGAAGCACATACATTTTTTAAAGGACACATAAAAACTGTATAAGCTATAATTTGCACCTAAGGAACTGCTTTGAAATAATAAAAACAAGCTGCCGTATTTTGAGTAAATGTTTATGTCAAAATTATAGTATGGGAAAATGCAGTCAAATACTAGTATTATTAGTATGCATGCTGTTGCATAATAAATATCTTCTAGGAGCAGTTCAAATGCAGTATTTGCATTTAAAATTGTTACTTTGTTCCTCTCAGAATTATTGTTTGCTTACCTTTCACATTTCAAACAAGTGTAGACATTTCACAGGCAGAGAGATAGCATACATTTCTTTGAGCAAGAATTGCTATTAGCACTGTCTAGAAAGGAGCATTCACGCTTTTGTCATTCACTCAGAAGACATTCTGGCACCACTAAAATCAACCATAAAACTCCCGATTTCAAAGAAGGCAAAATTTTTTGTGTTTAATTCATTGCATTAGAAGAGAAAATTAGAGCATGAAAAAAATCTAAGGCTCTTCCTTAACAATAAATTCCTGTCTCTTACATGATGCATTTCCTCCATAAATCTGAAAGCACTTTAGAAAAATGACAACATCATTATCTTAACTTCTCAGGTGGTAAAACCGAGGCAAAAAGAGGAAGCAACTGCATATAAGTTACCCAGCAGACCAGGAACAAAAGCAGATCTCTTCAGTCCCAGTCCAGTGCTTGCTCTGCATTTGGTCAGACTGTCTCTTCACATTCTTACATAGCTCTTAAAACACATAAAGAAAACTGGTGTGGCTTATTCAACTAAGTGCATCTTCATCTTGTCAGTCTGTCAAGAAATCAAACAGTATTTCCAGTTCAGGGGTGAAAAACATTTTAAAACACTACATTTATTAAGACTTATAAATGTTTGTACATCTAGTCTGTTTGTAATCAAATGGCTGATGATACTCAGCTTCACAGCACTGGATTCCACTAACAAAACTGGAAAATCAAAAGAATGATCACACTTAAGGAGTAATGGTCACACACAGAGGTCAGCAGTACAGAGGTGTCCCACTGATGCTAAAATGCTGGTGCCAAAGGTTATCATACATGACACTTGCCTAAGCTGCCAGCATGGAATAATGATAGAAACTCAAAAAAAAAAAATGTTATATGATGACAAAGATGCTTTTAACATTATTACTTTACCTGGAGGAATTAGTTGTATAGAAAAGAATCTTGCAGAAGTTGAATATAGGGGATCTGAATTACTTAAAAGGTTATGACAGCAAGGATATTACAGAATGAAATTTGGCCCTGGGCTTCTTGAATGTGCCTCATAGCAAGAAAAGAGTAATTGTATGGCAAAAGTGGAAATTAAATAGCTGCCATTTGTTAGGCTTGAGGACCATTTCCTTTAATTCCCAGTTGATTCTTCACCTGCTACATAATAAGCCATGAATTATTTCATGGACTTGCATGTGTCAAAGCAAGGCCAGTACAGAAGCAATATTACTCATGGACCACAGACTCAAAAGAGAACACATTTTATACCCTTGCATTGTCATCCTAGTTTATACTACTAGATTTTACATATCACATACCTGTGAGCTGGTTTAAAACATTTGTTTTGCTATTACTCATACAATTATTTTTTTTAAATATGGGGAAAAACTGTAAGTTTTTAAGTCAATAAAGCAAATATACAGCTTTATTACATTTTGTGTTTTATTTGGGAATGTAATATCCGTATAATAAACTTTAAAATGTACAGAAAAAAGATGACATATTTAAAACATGTAAGATCTACAGTGAATTTTAGCACCCAGAAAACATGATCTAGACAAAATGAGTCTTTACAACGCATGACTTTTATAAGTATATATGAAATATTAAGATATATTGTTATCATAAAAATGTGTTGTTGCGATTTCATTAGCAAATATTTTATTCAAAAACTCTGGATATGAAGTCATTTGTGCCTACAAGTTTCTATGTTTCTGGTGATGTTCTGAACATATAAAATAAAGTTTTAAATTGAAACACTAATTTGGAAGGAGCCTTGTTGGTGCCTGTTTTGTGTTTGCTTCATAGGTATATTAAGTATACATTTTTAAAAAGTTGTAAAGGCAGTTCTCTATATCAAAATAGATTCTTATGTTAGGCAGTGTCTTGAAGTCTTCAGCTATACAAATCAGACTCCTGAAAAGTCCTGAGAGAATTGAAGCTGTATTATCTAACATTTACCTTTCTTTTATTATACTGTGGCAAACACCTACACTTTCAAAGCAAACTACCTTTATAAAGCACAGATTATCAGTGAGTGTTTCTTTTGGCCATCACAAAACCAAATTAGTTCTGAAAGCTAGGCTATATTTTTTAATTTTCTTTAAAATAATGTTTACACATACCCTCATTCAAAGTTGTGAATACATACTTGTCACATTTAGTTCACTAGCATTTTAACTGGCATGTCCCACCCACCTTCTATGTACATTTTCTAATTAACCCACAAGTTTATTTCGTGTAGTTGATGGTGTCTAAAGTCCAACTCCACTAAAACTGCAAAGAGGGGGAGAGCAGAGATTGAGCCCCTCTGAAAGTATGTACTTAGATGCTCCTTGTGAAGTATACAAGCTCTTCTCTAAATTAGCCAGAAGAATATAGAATTCAGATAAATCATTAAGCCTTTTTTTGTTTCATATAGTTTACCTCAGTTGAGCGCTACTTTTTATAATGAGTCATAGTAGACCTATTGAAAATTATAACGGAAGTGCAAAGGAACATCTGTTGTTCACTCACTGCATTTATTCTTCATTCAGATACCAAAAAAAATGGCCCACAATAGATTCTACAAGTGCATTTCTACCCTGATGCTCTGAAAGCTGTGGATGAGTGTCTGTCAAATGGAAGCTGCCATTGGATTTGTATTCATTCTGGTAGAAAAAGCAGGAAATAAAAAGGCAGATGTTTTTCTATAAGGGGTGTATGGCAAAAATTTTTTGCCATATATAAGAGGAGGAGCATCGTTTTTCATTAGCTTTCAGAGAGACATGGGGAGAGCACTGAGGTGCCAATCACTGTAACATATATATGCTTTACAGCAGCTTTCATCAGTGCTTTTGTAAAGACCCCTTGTCTCTGGTACATCCCTTCTTAATTTGGTTAAATTCCTGCTGCTGGTCAGCTTGGTCCTTAAAAACAGACTATCGACCGATTTACTAGTTTATTCAAGGTTAGACACTCTTAAAATAATTATATAATGGCACTGTATATTTAGGCATATGAATTTAATTCCAGGTTTTACCTGTGGGCCACTTGTCCTCTGCACAGTTGGATCACTGTAATGAAGAGGTAGGAGGAATATATTTGGCAGAAAGGGAGTAAAAAATGGGAATGTCAGAAGGTTTTACATGAACTTACTATTTCTCAGGAAATTCTGAGATCAGTGAGGACTCTTAAATGCATTTTGAAAGGGAAAATCAATATTTAGTGGTCACACTGAGCTGCACTAATGAACACTGCTGTTACAGACATCACAACAGTCGGTGACACAGGAAGAGCAATTGATCCTCGCTCAGTGATCTGTCAAAGCTGTAACTCCTTATAAAAGCAGCTCTACACTGGACAGCTAATTTATATACCTGTGTAGAACACACTCTCTAACCACAGGATTTTAGCTCTCTTTTCCTTCCACTTTAGTCCAGGGAGGTCAGTTCTTCAAAAGCAGAAACTTCTGGTGAATGCTCAGTAATTCCATCCAGCTCTTCCCCAGGCTAAGCATCTATAGAACTCATCTGCAAAATGCAGGAAAGTGACTAAGCAGTTACCTCAGCTGAGAAGTGGGCAGCAGGGAGGAGAAGGGTGGGTGGGGTTCTCTTTCCCACTGCATGGGAAGAGCCAGGTGTTCCCTTCAGTTGAGAGGAGATGACCTCTATAGCCATGACCACCCTGCAGCATGAACACCAGGTCCTTTCTTGCCACAAACCTCACACTGTTCAAGGCTTGTCCTTTACCATGAAATTAAAACCTGACTGAAACAACAAAGTCTAATATAGCAGCAAGGGAGTCAGGGTAGTTTTATAGAAGCATGTCTGTAAATGTCTAATTGATAATCCCTTTATATATGGCTCTGTGAAGAGCATGTTCACATACTAACAAATGGTGAAAGACTGTTAAAAGAAAGAGGCAGGATTATGGAATGTGGATTGTCTGGGCATGCTGAATATGGAGAGAAGGTGAATATGTATCATTTCAGTGGTAATATTCAGTAAGGATGAAACAAAGGAGTAAAAAAGTCAACTGCATATACTTGAAATTTTCCTAACAATAAAATCCATTAGGTCACAGAACAATCACCCAGATCAAGGAGCAGTCAATATGAACATTAAAAACCAGGTTGGGGTAAAAGAAACAATCTTAAATTCTGCCTTCCCTTTTTGCTGCCAAAACCATATTCATCTATGGCTGCTCTCCTGTTTTCAAACTCAAATCTGAATTTAAGGTTGGCCTTATGCTAAAAGCCTAAGCAATACTTAATCTTGTCATGAACTTCTGCTTACTTAGTGGCCAAAGCTGAATGTCATTTTACAAAAGCCACCAAGTAATCCCACTATGGTAGAGGACTATTCTAATTGATTAATTACTTACCAACAAACGGTTCAAAATAATTTGACAAGTCCAGTAATCAGAGGTATAATCTGTTAAATCATTCCCATGCAAAAAATAATAATAATAATAAAAAATCCTGTCAGTTATGTAACAGCATATAAAGTATACCCAGATTGCAGAAAATGCCATCAAAGCCAGATGGATACAAACACAAAATTTTATTACTGAGAGGGAAGGAAAAGAAGCAGCAGTGCCTCTGTTTGGCTGTTTTTCCTGCTTCTCCTCTCCCTGGGAAGAGCAGCCATCGAGGCTGTCTTCACTGCAGCCAAAGCTCTCCCTTGTCTGCTGGAAATGGTTTATAGAGCACCACAGGCATTGATGTGCTTTTTCCCCTCCTCTAGAAGTAGGTGATGCCACATGGGCAGTCTGAGAAAGAGGGAAAGATCAGACCTCAGGGTCAGCACTGCCCTGAGACATGCAGGGTGGCTTGAAGTTCCCTCTTGTGCAGTGGGCAGGAATGGGTACAGGGAGCACAGGCGGATCACTTCTGCCCTGGCAGACACTGCCCATGCTGTGATGGTCACGGCAGAGGTGGTAACACTGAAAGCCTCTGGTTAACATTTGCAGCCCAGCTATAAATTTGTGGAAATAGAGTTTAGCACGTACCTCAATAGATGCGATGAAAATGCCTCACACTGATGTAATATAGCAGCTACCAAAAAGAACAAAAACAGATCTGTTCAACAACTAACAGGTAAAAAATATGTGTTTACTTCAATGTAGTATCTCCTGAATGAAAAAGGCACCTCTAGTATTCACTGATCAAAACAGTGGATCCACAGCACCATTGTTTTTCCCACTGATAAGTCTAGTCCAGAACAGGTCAAAATCTGTAGAGTTGATGATGTGGGATAGGTATATATGACATGTTTGTCCAGGGGTATAAATAAGTGAGATTTGTATATTGTGAGCTAGTATGGTGATGTGAGGAGATTCAAAAAGGATGTGTCTCCAAAGTAATACACTTCAGCTTTATTGTATGGCCTTCACTGACTGTGTTTTTACTTGCAGCTCTGCATCTCTAGAGGTTACCATAGTTTGAATATTGTTGGATCATTTAGGCAGCACCACTTTAAGCTTCTTATGGAAGTTAGATTAATTAAAAAATCAATGTTGCATTGCAGTCAAGAAATCATATTATTATTCTGTACAATACAGATGTATGAGATAATGTATTTTTAAAAGCAAGCTAGTAGCTAGATAGATGTATTATATATAGTTATACATAGTTATATAGATTTCTTTAGCCCATCAGTTGTGTTTCCTCAGAAACTTGAAATTAGTGCTCTTCTGGGTCTTTGAGTTAGTTTAGGAAAAGAAACTTTCACATTAGGACTATTTTCAGCAAGAGATTTTTAAAGTGTATTGGCAATTAAAATTTGAAGTTCAAGAGAAAAATATGAAAGTCATTTGTAGAGACAGTATTAATCATCCATTTCCCACACAAATATGTTTTATGGTTTGAAATATCACTAAAATGGGTATTTTAGAACACAAACCAGAAGCTTGAATAGGAACAGCATCAGCTTCGTGTATTTTAACATTCAAATACATGGAGGTATGTGCAAGTTCAATTTTTTTCTGAATGTCAAAGAACAAACTCATTCTTGGGTTAGTTTGCAATAAATTTGCCCCTGAGATTTCCAGCTTGTTTTCAACAATTTTGTGTGGTAACAGTGGACTTGGTGTGGCAACAAACAGCAACTTTTTTGACTCTACGGTATAATATTGTTGACTTTTTTGGTATGGGGAATGACTGCACCAAGAGAAAGATAAACCTGTAAATAAGTTACAAAAGGGAACTTTTAGGAAATGTTTTTCTTTTTCTAACTAAAACTTTGATCTGTAGCAAAATGACTAATACCCATGTGCCCAAATTCCTTATGCATAAAACTGGAACAACTTTTTTCTTCTCAAAGATGCAGGAAACTTACAAAACATATGAAGTTAAAATTTCATTTCTTTATGTTCTTTTAATGCTGTTTTATAAAATAGCTGTCATTTTTTCAAAATCTATCATATCTTTCAAACTTACAACACAGGGTAAAAATCTGTTCCCTCTGGACACATCAGAATTTACCCCCTCATGCTCTCATTTCAAAATACTCCAGTGTCAAAATAAAATAACTGTCTCCCTCCAACTTCATTTGCTAAGCCCCTCAGCTGTTGATGACTGCACCTCCACCGTGGTGATAATAGCACCACAGAGAAACTCACAGTACAGGCAGGGGGAGTAATGAAGGACTGTACTCCAAGCCCTCTGTGTTTGCTTGAGAAGAAATCTTTAGTACCTCCTCAGTTCCTCTAAATTTGGTTGCTTGTAGGTCACCTATGCCATGCTCCAGCACAGACCCCTAAGCAAGCACAGGCAGTTA